ATAATAAATCAGCTAATACGTTTTTTTTTTTTTTTTTTTTTAATAAAAAAAATGAAATTTCCTATATATATATATATTTCAAAAGGCCAATTATTTTATTTAAATAAATAAATATATATTAATTTAATTTATTTTTCTTTTGGTAATTATTGCTTGCCAAACTAATTATTAATAATAAAATTTTATTTTTTTTGTACAAAATTTGAAAAAATTTAATAAATTTTTCTTTTATTTTAATAAATTAATTGGAATTTATTAAATAAATTATTTTCACACAGGAATTTATGGGAATTTGATAGGAAAAAAATTTAAATATATAATTACCATAATGAAAATCATGATTGTTATTATTATTATTATTATTAGTTTTTAATTTGTAGTTTTGATGTTATACCGTAATAATAATAATAATAATAATAATAATAATAATAATAATAATAATAATAATAATAATATATCGTCTAAATATAAATTTAATTATATATATATATATATATGTATGTATATGAAGTTTTTTTTTTTCTTTTGGTTGAGATTATGTATACACTTTGGCGGTTGTATTTGTTAATTTAATAAAAAAAAAAAATTAAATAAATAATTTAATTAAATTTTTCATTTTGAATTAAAAATAAATAATTTCAAAAAAAAAAAAAAAAAATGGCAATTTTATATATATATATAAACTCACAGAGTACCTTCAACTCAATTCTTTATAGTATATTTTAACGGTTTTTTTCAAGCTGGGTTTACAAACATGAGGGAATCCCAAAAAATTTTAAAAAAGGGATGTCATTAACTTATTATTATTATTATTATTATTATTATTATTATTATTATTATTATTATTATTATTATTATTATTATTATTATTACTACATAAGAAAAAATATTTGGATTTAAAATTAATTTTTATTCTTGTTTGGGAAATGTATGGAGCCTGTTTGATTATTTCAATAAAATGTTTTTTTATCATATATTATATATATATAATTGAAAATAATTATTAATCTGTTTTTATTTATTTATGATTTAGGGAAATCTTATCATGTACGATTATTATTAATATAAATAAATTAAAAAAAATTGAACGATCAAAAAAAAATTATTTAATAATAATAATGATAATAATAATAATTTAAAAAACATGGAAAATTTTTTTTGTTTTTTTTTTTAGAAAATTTTTTTCCTTTTCCTTATTTAAATTGGAATTGCAAAAATTGGATTTTTCATTCTGAAATGTGTTATTTTAATAAATTTTAATAAAAGAGAGGATAAAAATAAATAAATATTTTATGTATTAATAATTGTTTATGTAAATTATGTTAGGAAGACAGGGAAAAAATGTATGTAAATTTTTTTTACATTAATTTATTCGAACAGATTTTTTTTCTATTTTGAAAATAATTTATTTTTAATCAATCGATAATCATAAACAATTATTATTATTATTATTTAAAAAAAGGTAATTGATTTATTTATTGATAATTGTATTGATAATAATCAATAATTAAAAAGTAAAAAAAAATTAAATAATTTAAATTTAAATTCTACATTGTGATGGGGATTCGAATTGCAATTTTTTTTTTTTTTTTTTTTTGCGTTCAATATGAAGGATTTTTAAAAATAAATTTTAAAAAATAATTTTAAATTAATTATGTATTCTTTATTTTCAGTAACAAAGTTATAAAATATTTTTATATATATATATATATTTTTTCAATAATAATAATAATAATAACTTAAATTACAATAAAAATTGCAACAAATTAATAATAATTAATAACAAAACTTTCTTATTAAAAACAAATTTTTTTTTTTATATTAAGTCATTTATTATTATTATTATTATTATTATTATTAAAAGGTAAAAAAAATCCAACTGTTTCAATTGTAATTTATCTTTTATTGACCCAAAAAAAAAAAAAAAAGAAAAAAAAAAAAAGTTTCAGAAACTTAAATCTAAATAAAAAGTAAAAATTTTTTTTTTATAATTTTTTTTTTTTTTTTTGTATAGCACAAATGTAAATTCAATATTTAAGTATACATTATTTTCAAGATAAATTTTATTTAACGGAATTTATACATAAATTATTTAAATAAAATTTTCTAAAATTTATATATATATATATATTTGAAATAATAATTTCTCGATAAATGCTCAAGTGCAATCCAAACACTTAATTTGAATTTTAAAGGAAAATCACTCGTTACAAAATGTGTCAAAGTTATTACTGCTCGAATAACTTATGTATGTATAGTACACATAGGTTATGTACTTTTTTTTAATCGATATATGTACATAGTAAAAAAAAAATTGACAAAATCTGTAACTTTCAACACATTTTTAAAAAAAAAAAAAATTATCATCACCATTATTAGCATCATGTTCGTAAATTATTATCGTAACATCATCATCATTATAATAATCATTTTATTTTCTTTATAATTGTTATTATTGTTATTATAATTATTTTATTTTATTATTATTATTATTATTATTATCATTATTATTATTACTATTTAATATTTATTACAACAGAAGAAGCTTTTTTAAAGTTTAGGAATGATACAATCTCAAATTTTTTCATGATACTATGCAATTACCCTTTTCTTTAACATTACCATTTGCTCTTTCTATTTCAACTAATAAAGTATGAAATATATCAGCTACTGATTCATTTTTTTTAGCAGAAGTTTCCAAAAATGATGCTTTCCACGAATCTGCCAGCCTTTTACCAGCTTCCGAGCTTATCATTCTTTCCATATGCAAATCAGTTTTATTTCCAACCAACACTATTGGGACTCTGAAATTATATTATTAATAATAATAATAATAATCATTTGTACATAAGTTAATAACTTAACAATATTATTATTAAAATTCTAAACATACTTTACTTTTCCAGTCATATCTAACAATTTGTCATATATCACTTGTATAACTTCGAAAGATTTGGCTGATGTAATTGAATAAACTAAAACATAACCGTGAATGTCCATTGAGTACTGTGCTGGAAAAATTGAATATTCATCTTGGCCTGCAGTGTCAACTAAATTTACCTCATAATCTTGACTATGGACTCTAAATAATTTTGTAAATGCTGAAATATTTAAATGTTGTAAACTTAATACAAAATTTTCTTAAAAGAATGAATTCATAAAAAAGTTAACTCTTACTGTTTTCTATTGTAGGATCATATGAATCAACAAACTGCCCTTCTACAAATTGAAGGGTTAAGGACGATTTCCCTGTTCAAGACAAAAAAAAAAAAAAAAAAAAAAAAAAAAAAATTCAGTAATAATAAACAATAATAATAATAATGATGGGGAATTGGGGAATGTAAAATTTCATTATAATTTATAATTAATAAAATAAAAAAATAATTTTTTGAGGTAATGCATTAATGTATTATTTACAATAAAAAAAAAAATTCGTTCTACGACTTCATTCATAATTCTATAGATTCATGTTTACCTACGGATCTATATCCCATAATAGCAATTTTTCTTTGTTTTGCAGGCATTTTGTAATAATTTACATGTACACCTGATACCGTGTCGTTAGTCAAAATTTTCTATATAAATACTTATAAACAAAATGTAATTTTAAAAAATTGCTACGCTCAAAATAATCATTCTAAATACGTCTTATTAATAGGCTTTGCTAAATGTCAGATAGTCCATATTTTTAACACTGTTCGAAAATCACTATTAATTTTTTTTTTAACCTATGGTTTATTGTATTGTACATAAATCACTTAATATTACAAAAGTTTAGCTTTTTTTTTTTGTTTAAAATGTTGTGTCTTTTATTTGCAGCAAATTTCATACACTAAAAATCGTGGACATGAATTTATTTTAAATATTCGTTGTCACGATATAAGTTAGTGATTAAAAAATGTACTGGGAAATTACATAATAAGTTATTAATGTAACCTATAATAAAATTATTATAGTGAGTTTGAAATGGCAACAACGCATTTTGTCTGTTTTACGAATGCACCAATGAGGATTTCCATTAGAAATTTTGATTATAATTTTTAATGTTTTTAACGTATTTAATATGCTAAAGAAAGTTTAAATAATTTTTTTTTAAAAAAAAAGTAGCCATTTCATCGTTTTTATTTTTTATTTTTACATTTTTCATTCAGTAAGAAAAATTACATGGCTCGTGTAAGTAATGTATATTAATGTATATGTGCTCCACTGATTAGAATGTGTGCACGTGCATTAAAAAATTTTAGAGAAATTATTTATTTATTATTTTTTTGTTTTTTTTTTTTTTTTTAGGGAAAATCGAAATGTAAAGTAAGCTCTGTAAAACGTAATAATAAATTACGTACAAAACTTCTTAAGCAAGGTAAATTAAAAACAAGACGAAATAGAGCTTATCCTAAGAAAAAACATAGACCAATTTCAGTGAGAAATGAATCGTCTAACATAGAACAAGATAACAGCGATAATGAAAATGAGTTATTGGATACAATCGATAATGAAGACTTATCTTTCCTTCGAAATGCAGCTGCCAGTAAAAGTTATAAATTTTTAAAAAATGTTAATGTTGAAAGGTAAGACAAATTATAATAATTATCATTAAAAATCGTTTTAAATTTTAATAATAAAAATCTTTATTTTAATAAAGGTCTGAAAAAAATTTCAAAACCAAAAAAAGAAAACGCAAAGAATTGGAGGAGTTGGAAAATTATGAAAATGAGTATGAACATTCAGTAATAACTTCAAGTCATCCTAAAAAAAAATATTTATTACCCATTAAGTCTTCTAAAGAAATAATTGTTCGTTCGGAAGAAGTAAATAGTAGCGAAGATGAAGAAAACCTTCAAACGGAAACGAATAAAAAAGGTAAATTTTTTGCTTAGTTTTATATAATTATATATATAATATATAATATAATATATATTATAATAATATATTATATTATATATTATAAATTATATCATAATATGTAATATAATATTATAATAAAATAATATATTATATATTATTATAATATTTATTTATTATATTAATAATATAATATTTATTATGTATATATTATAAATATTATATATATAATATATATTATATTATATATTATAATATAATTTATAGTATATAATATAATATATTATTATAATATATATTATATTATTATATTATATTATATATTATTATAATATATTATATTATATATAATATAATAATATTATTTTATTTATATAATGCTTAGAATTAGTAATGATAAAATCGAACTGAAATGCTTTAAATTCTTTTATATATACTTTCATATATGATTTCTTTTTCATTATTTGAATGATAATCTTTTTTTATATTATTATTAGTATTAAAAGAAGATGTTGGGTTTGAAGGAATGCAAAGACTAGGACATGCTGAGGAAGTTCGTGCTGCTGATTTAGTAGCTTGTAGAGAATTTATTTTCCAGAAGAAAAAAGTGAAAATTGGTGTATTATGCTCCGGACTTACAGAAAATCCAGAAGAAAAGGTAAAATAATTTATTCGATAATTATTTTTAATTTGTAATTATATTGAAATCATTTGACATATTAACATATAACTTGATATACATTATTTTAAAACTTTTGTTTTTCGTCAAACTTTGAACATAATGTTATTTCTTTACAGTTAAAAAAAAAAAAAAAAAAAATAATACTTTTCATTGTTAATTACAGATTCATAATTTCAAGCCATTATTAGAAATGTTAAATGACAACGAGCCTGGAGTGTACCTTACTGTAAGAAAATTAGCACTTGTTTCTTTAGTAGAAGTATTTAAAGATCTGTTACCTGAATATCAGATAAAGCATCATAATGAACAAAATGTTAAATGTAAAATTTCAATTTCATTTTTTTCAATTCACCCTTATAAAAACTATAATTACTTTTTTTTTTTCTAATAATTTTTTGTTATTTCTAGTGAAAAAAGCTGTTAAGCAGTTGCAAGGTTATGAAAATAATTTGCTTAAATATTACAAAGATTATTTAAAAGAAATTGAAAAGATAGTTAATGTTTTCAAAAGGAAAAAAGGGGATCAAAGGATTGTAACGGAAGTAAGTAAAAATTAAAATGTTTTTTTTTTTTCATTCGTAACATTAAAAAAAAAAAATTAAATATTAAATAAGAGTAAAAAAATTTCAGGCTCAAGTAAAATTGGCAGAAACTGCTTTAAAGTGTTTATGTGATGTTTTCAATTCTCATCAGTATTTTAATTTTTCTAAAAATATTGTACATTTAATAGTTCCATTTTTAAATAACGGAAGAGAAACCATTAGAAAAATTGTCTCCGAAGCGATTAAAACATTATTTAAAACCGATAAAAAAGGTGCCATGTCTTTAGAGGTTGGTTCAAATTTAAACTTATTGCTAATATTATTAAAAAAGAAATTAAGTGTGTAATTTTATATATAAATTAAATAATGACAGTGTGATTAAAAATTTTATTTTAGGCTGTGAGAAATATCAATAAATTTGTCAAATCCAAACGAAACATTGTACACAATGAAGTCCTTAATGTACTTTTGTCGTTAAATTTAAAAGATGTCAGCCTTGATAAAGAAAAAGAAGAGGAAATAAGGAAAAAAAAAGAAGAAGCTAAAAGAAGTCGAATGATACAATTATCGAAAAGAGAAAAAAAAGTAAGCGAATGACAAATTTTTAATTGTAACATTGTCGAGAATTATAATAATTTAAAATATATATATATATATATTTTAATTTTTAGAGGATCAAGAAATCTCTCCATCTTCAAAACGATTTATTAGAAACGAAAGCAGAAGAAAATAGAAAATTCAAAGAGCAATGTTTGACGGAAGTAACAAAAATAATATTCACCATTTATTTTAGAATATTAAAAGAAAATTCATCGTCTAAACTTTTGAAAGGAGCTCTCGAAGGAGTTGCCAAGTAATTTTCAACAACAAAAAAAATTTCAAAAACGTTTATTCAAAAAGAATTTATAATTTTTTTTTTTTTTTATTGGATAGATTTGCACATTGCATTAACGTAGAATTCTATCAAGATTTAATTATCGTTTTGGATCAATTGATACAAAATGAAAATTTAAATTATCAAGAAAGACTTTGTTGCGTTTGGACCGTTTTCACCGTGCTTTACTATCAAGGTGCTACGATTTACATTGATCCAGTGAGATTTTATTCCCATTTTTATACAAACATATTGGAAGTCAATTCAGGTAGGGTGTATACTCAAATTTACATAATATGGAAAACTACATGCATACATCAAGTAATTTTTTTTTTTTTTTTTTTTTTTCAGGTATCAATCACAGTGATTTACCGGTAATATTAAAAACAACAAATTTTATTTTACTCAAAAGACGTCAACATTTATCGTTGCAAAGACTCTTGGCATTCACGAAGCGACTCACAACTTTGGCTTTACAAGTTTTACCCAACGGATCTTTAGCCGTTTTAAGTTTAATTGGAAATATTTTACAGGTAAAGTAGTTTCAAAAAGGAAATTAAGTAAATTTTAATCACCGGTTCGGGAAAAGGTATGTTTATTAATAATTTAAAAAAAAAAAATGTTTATTTTTATAAATAGGTTAATAGTTCGACGGACATTTTATTGGAACTCGAATCGGCGCAGGGACAGGGAATTTATTTCCCTGAAATGGAAGAACCTGAATATTGCAATGCTTTTGCTACTTCATTGTGGGAGTTGCTTCTTTTACAGGTTAGACTTAAATTTTTTTTTTTTTTTTTTTTAAAGTTAATTCAGGAAAATAATAACGTGACTTTTTTTTTTTCTTTTTTTTTTTTTTTTGCAGAAGCATTATCATCCTTCCGTTCGGGATTTTGCGGTAAATATAGCGAAATTAGCCGTCGATACCGGAGATAATAATAATAATCAAAAAAAATCATTTATAAAACTGTAAGTTATTTTTAAATTTTTTTCTTTTTCTTTTTTTTTTTTTTTTTTTTTTATATAGAAATAATTTAAAAATTACATTTTTTTAAAATAATGATTTAGGTCACCCGAACAATATTTCGAAGTTTTTAGTCCCGATACGGTTAAATTTAATCCGGCGATACCTCCCCCGAGAAAATTTCCAAAGGTTAAACGGAAAGGTGAGGAGCAATTATTAAATCCCAATTTAGAGGAATACGTAAACGAAATTTTAAAAAAGGTTAAATTTAAATTTTAAACAAAAAAAATATAATTTAAAAAAATTAAAAACTAAAAATAATTATTTATAATTTTTAAAAATTAATTTTTTTTTTTAAATGGTTTTTTAATTATTCTCCTCAGCATTCCTGCATTCCTTTTTCTGGAATCGTCAAAATATTTATGTAAACCTTAAGCTTTATGCAAGCTAATCGTTCTTCGAAAATCTTCAATAGCAGCCCTTTTATTTTTTTCTGCCCAAAAAAAAAGTAATGATATTAATTAAACCTTTAATAAATTATTGAATATTTTTTAAATAATATATAAAATTACGTACTTGTAATGTTTCACAGTCTTTCTCTATTTTTTCAACATTTGTAAAAGTTTCGGTTTTTGGTGAATTTAAAACGTCCTTCCTGAAAAATAAATTTGATTATTGTAATAAGGAATATTATAGCCATTTTTTTTTTTTGTTTTTGTTATTCATTTACCCATAAAAAAGAATTTTTGTGTTTAATTCAGAAATAAGTTCTTTTTCTTGAGCTATTCTATTTTTTAGTGCAGTTTGAAATTTTAACAATTCTTTGTATTCTAATTCGCATTTGAGTTGTTCTAAATTCAAATCGGAGGGAAATTGTGATTCTTTTAAAATTTTATTCGTAGAAGGCGGTATTTCGGGTGACGACGACTGATTTGGTGATTTTTCTAAAATTACAAAAAAAAATTTCGTTTTTTTACGTATCTCATAATAAATTAATTTATTAAAACGGATCATAAAAAACTTTAAACTTTTTGAATTTTACCTTTTTTTACAACCTTTTCAGGAGAAGTGGAATTTAATTTATTTCCTTTATTCGGTACTCCTTCTTCATTTTTGCTATCGTTTAAATTTTCCTTTGAGTTACTTAATTTTAAATTTAACTGAATGGGAGAAACATTTTTTTCTGTTACATTGATTTTATTTTCACAAGAGGTCTCTACATTTGGTTTACAATCTTCTTCGAAACTTTTAACCACAGTATTTATTTCACTAAATTTATGAAAACTTCTAAGTTTTCTCTAAAATGCAAAAAAATTAAGTAAGTACAGTGTAAAAAAAAAAAAAACTTATGCATTTTGTCAATAATTATTTGCCATTTTATACCGAATGCAACTTTATCTACATACTTTTAATTGAGTGACTATCCTTTGAACTTCCCATAACTGCTCTTCTTTTTTTTTCGAAACAAATCCTTCGCTCATTTCTCTATGTAATTGATTTAATAATAACTCTTGTTTTTTTAATTCCAATGATATTTCATCTGGTTTTTCTGGAAATGCACTTCCTGGACAAAGCGGTGGAATGTACCTTCAATAATTCCATATATATATTTTAATATAAAACCTTTGATGAAATTTTTATTTAAATGTATGAACCTTACCTTTCGATTGTTATATTCGAGAACAGAGGTTTGCAATGGCATAAAAATGCAGTAAGCAATCTATGACTCATTTGTAATACAGGACTAAATGTCATAGCAATCGATTGGGCATTTAGCTTATTATGTTTTTCCTAATGAACAAAAAACAATTTCAATAAGCAATCAATTTTGATAAAATTTAAATTTGTTACGAGTTGTTATATGATTTCTTACATGCATTGTAACTATATCAAAATGATTTATGAGCCACCCCAACAAAATTTTATTCACAACAGGTAATTGAGCTAATAAATTCTGTAGAGTTTTTTCTCTTAAATCTAATTCCATTATTGCACCAGCCTCTTCAAATCTTGCCAATAACTCTGTGGTAAGTAATGAATCGGGTAATTCTCTGAAATGTACAATAGGTGTTTTAATAAACATAGTTGATTACTTAATATTTAATAAAATTAAATTATTTACTTTAAGAAAAGTTTTAGCAAACAAGTTGCAACAGGTACATCACACTCTCCCAATGAAACATTTTCTCTTGCATTGTACATTTTTTTCACGGCTAGAACTTTTGATTTCATACCGAGAATTTTATATAATCCATCTAAATTTAAACCGAAACTGTGAATACAATCTATACAATTTCTTACAACCAATGGAATTGGAACACCATCCAAACAACCATTCCTCTCGACTGCAGTAGAAAGATTAACTCCAAAAACATTGTGGTTTTCTAGAAAAATATTTGCTTTGAGTCTTGCAAATGATATTTAAAATGTTAAAGAGCATAAATAATAATTTACCATTCGAATCTAAAATTTCTTCACTGTTTTTAATTTTCTTTTTTTCTTTACTTTTTACTTTATCCTTATCCTTTTTTTCTTTATCTTTTTTATCTACATCTTTATCTTTATCTTTATCTTTAATTTTTTCTTTTTTTTCTGCTTTCTTAGAAGAAAATTTAAACGTTTTGCTTTTTTTCGATTTACACGGACTCCTAAAATTTTATATAAAATTTCACAATGCAACATAATTAAATTTTCACTCATTAAATGCCTAATTTTTAAAAACTTATATACTTATTATTTTCAACATGAATAAAATGTAATAATAATAATAATTACTTCAAATCTGTGTCTTCATCAACAGAACTTTCACCCTCTAAAGCAGCATAACCTCTATCCTTTTTCGAATCTTTTTTGTCTTTTTTTTTTCCAATAATTAAATCTTTTTTAAATGATTTATCATGAGCTTCATCACTAACTGTAAGCACAATTGTAACAATAAGAAAAAAATTTTTTTTTTTTAAATTTTATATTTTAAGTTATATTTAAGTTTAACTTACAATCACTTTCATTGCATTTTTTACTTAAGTCAGAAGCATATAAACCAGGGAAATCTTTTTCAACATCGGGGCTTTCGAATTCCATTTATTAAAAATTATTTTCTTTTTCACACTTTACCAAAGAAATAAAAACATTGCATGTATAATAAAATTTTAAAAAATAATCAATTAAAATACTTAAAAATATTACAACTTTTTTATTAACATAACATAATTAAAATTAAATTAAATTCTACTTTTAGTATTGCATGTTATTTTTTAATTTAATATTTAAAAATTAATTTAATTTATAATTATAAAGCTTCCTTTGACATTAAAATTTAAATTAACAAAGTCATAGAGTAAAAACTACTTAAAATGCAGTGCTATATATAGGTCAAATTATTTCAGTCACTGGTTGCACGATAGAAAATATTATCAACTTGACTGTATTTAAATAAAGAAATTTGAAATAGTACGGATGTTGATTTTAATCATTATCATATTTTTCAAATTTCTTAGTTTTTAAATTTTCATTCTGCTTTCTAATAATTTTCTTTTATTATTTAATATTAAAGAATAAAAAAACATTTAAAAAAAAAAAAAAAAATTTCTTTTGCTAATATTCGTTTTACAGAAAAATTTATGAAAAATATTAATCAATACGCTGTATTATTATATTTTATGATTCTTATTTCAATCTAGTATTAACTAATTTACCAAAATTATTATTAAGTTATTAAAAGACATTACATAAAATATTTTTAATCTTCTGTTTTAGGCCTATGTTGTAAATTTTACGTATGTTCTTTAATCTGAGTATGTTATTTATTTATTAATTTCTCTGCAGTTTTTTTTTTTTTTTATAACTATGGAAGATTACTGTCCAAGCATAGTAGAATATTATTCAGAGCAAAGAAAAAATAATTGTGGTTATTGTTCATCAAAAGATGGTTCTCATACTTACGGTATTAAAAATTATTTTTAAAAATTCAATTTTCATTTTACATCATTCACAAAATGCTTGTGTCATGTTTTAGGATTGTATGCACATCGACTAACAGTTGAAGATTACCAAAATATGATAGACAGAGGGTGGAGAAGATGCGGGACATATTGTTATAAATCTATAATGAAAAATACATGTTGCCCTCTGTATACAATTAGGTAAGTTTTATGATTTTTTTTTCCTAGTTTTATTTGAAATAAAACCAAGTTTATCATTTTGAACCTAATTTATTTATAGGTGTGAAGCTAACGATTTTAAACCATCTAAAACTCAAAAAAAACTACTTAGAAAATTTAATAATTTTTTAATTACTGGAGATATAAAAAAGGAAAAAAATTATAGAAACACAGGTTGGTTTAATATATTCTAGAGTAATTAATTACTCATACTAATTTTCATTTATAAAATTTTATTTATCAATTTTTCTAGAAATTACTCAACATAAGGAAATGCATTATTTAAACAATGATGATAAAGCGGTAAATAAAAAATTTACACCTATGAATATTTCTACCATTTCTACTGTTGATGAAATTCGTTCCGATGAAAAAATTTCTTCCGTTAAAACAAATTCTGAAAAAGTGTCAGCCGAATGCTCATTATCTCAAAATACTATTTCTGAAGGTTTGGAATAATCATTCATTTTTTGAAGAATGAATTAAATGAAATAAATATGTTTTAAGTATAAATAAAATTTTTTTTTAGAGAAGCCTAAAAAATGCCATTTAATGAAAGCAAAATATTTAAGAATTGAAAGAAAAAGGCAAAAATTACAAAATCAAGGGTTTACAGATGAAGAAATTGCAAAAAAGCTTGTAGAAAAGAAAAGGTATCCAGTCACTAAAACTCTTGAAGATTATTTAGATAATGCTTTACCCGAAAATCAAGCTCATAATTTTAAGGTAAGTTTCCGAATTAATTTAAACTTTGTTTATTCTTTTTACAATCAATCATTAAATTACATTTTATTTAAATTTTTAACAATAATAACAATAATATTTTAAATTTAGGAATAATGTCCATCTTAACTTAAAACTTGCTTAAAAAACCGTTAAATTAATTAACAATAACTAATTCCAAAGTAATTCATTTGAAAATTTTTACGAATTTCTATTTTACTTTTTCATATTTTAATAATAACTAACTAATAAATTTATAATTTCAGATTTTACTGATTTTAAAGACTGTGTCTAATTGTTTTGCTTTAAAGAAATCATAATCGGGTTTTTTTTGTTTTTTTAGTCGTTCAAAAACGATTATTTTTAAATTTGAAAATTTTTTTTTAAAAAGAGTTAATATTTATTTAATGAAAATTATTTTTAAAAAACTTTAACGAGTAAATCTATTTCAGATTTCTTTAGTTAGATCATTTCCTCCGAGTGAAGAATTTCACAACACATTTGGTATAGTTTTTGATTTATATAAGCGATATCAAATAAGTGTTCACAAAGATCTCCCTAGTAAAATAACGGAAAATCAATTTGAAAGGTTTCTTGTTACATCTCCTTTGCAGGTAGTAGATTTTTTGCAATGCAGAAAATGGAGGACACAGAATTTTAAATTCAGTAAAATTATTATATTTAAAATAACTCTTGTAATAATATAAATTTCTAAACCAGATTATATATATTATATCTCATCACATAATGATTTTAGTACAACTAATTACAAAAAAAAAATTTATAATATATTTTCATTTAATAATTATAATAATAATAATTTTGTTCAAAATTAATTTTTATAGATTTCTTTAGTCTCGGTTAAATCTCCTAAATTTAAAGATACATTTAAAGAAAGTAGTTGTTTATTTGCTAAATATCAAAAAGCGATACATAATAGTCCGGATCATGATTGCGATGATGTAGCATATACTGATTTTTTAATTGATACTCCTTTAGAGGTATGATTCTGTGGCCTCCTATTTTTTATTTAAAAACCGTTAAAATCAATAAATCAAAATGGCGTCGTTGTTTAAACGATTATAGTTTTTAATTTTAGGCAAAGAGTGTTTACGGGTCGTACCATCAACATTATTGGCTTGATAATAAATTGATAGCTGTCGGAGTTATTGATATTCTTCCCAAATGTGTTTCTTCCGTTTATTTTTTTTACGATCCCGATTATTCTCATTTATCTCTTGGAACATACGGGGCGTTAAGGTATTATTATTATTATTATTATTATTATTATTATTATTATTATTATTATTATTATTATTATTATTATTATTATTATTATTATTCAAATAAAAATTAAATATTGATAAACGTTTAATTAATATATTTTTTTTTTGTAGAGAATTGGAATTCACGAGAAAACTTTCTAGTCGTTTTCCTGATTTAAATTATTATTACATGGGATTTTATATACATTCATGTATTAAAATAAAATATAAAGCAGCTTTTAAACCGTCTTTTTTACTTTGCCCTGAAGTTTTTACTTGGCATCCTTATCAAGATTGCGAGGAAAAGTTAAATGTTAATAAATATTGCCGGCTGAACGAAACTTCAGGAATTGATGTCAATTCTAATAATATAACTTGTTCTGATGTAGGCTTCAATATTAAATAAATATTGGTGGTATTATCATTATTATTATTATTATAAAAAACCGTTATTTTCTTTCTTTTTTTTTTTTCTCTTATAGATTTTAATACTACATAATAGAACGGCAATGCCACTTGGACATTATAAAAAAATTAAAAAAGTAACAAATAAAGAATTGGATGAAATAATGGAATATGCTAAATTAGTCGGTAAATTATGTTCTAAAAATATTCTTCTTCTCAGAGTTTAATAATTATTTTATTTTAAAAACAAACCAACAAGTAATTAATTACGGCGTGAAATATAAAGTGAAGGAAAACGTTTTATTTAGTTTAATAAAAAAAAAAAATTTTTTTTTAAACTTGCATAAAATATATATATATATATATATATATTATAAAAACGTTATAATATAAAAAATTAACAAAATAAATTCTTGGCACACGCTTTCTCATTTATAAAAGTTTTTGTAAAAAAAAAAAAATAAAAATATTATTTGCCAAAAAATTAAATAAAAAAACATATTAACTTCTAAAAAAAAAATTAAAATCGATTTAAATCATTCGAATAACGTTTAAAAAATTAACAATGAGATTCTAAAATTAACAAAAAAAATAATTATCACCGCCTACTTATAAAAAAAAATAAATAAAACGTTCTTGAAAAAAAATAAACATTCGTTTTAATATCAAATTAATTGAAAGTTGACATTGTATTAATAAGTTGACATTATATTTTATTGTGATTTATTATTATTATTATTATTTAAATTTGAATCCGATTGATTTGTTACATTTTTTCTTTCTTCGAGTAATGCATTTCCCGCTCCTCTTAGAGTTGCTTTAACGAATCCCTTCGGTTTTAAAACTCTAAAATTGTTTTTAGTATAGTATAAATTTCCAACCGTTTCGATTGCGTTATTGGTTAAAGCTCCGGCATTTTCTCCATACCTATAAAATAAAGTTATAAATTAATAATTTTATAAATAGACGTATTTTTTTTACAAATAAATAAATTTTATTTTGACACTTACTTGTATTCAATTATTTTTACTGTATTGTTTGACAAACTTCGCGCCAAAATATTGGCGGCTGTTTCTAGTCCCCCGTAAATAATGGATACGCCTTCGACAGCATTTGTAACGGTATTTAAAGCAGAATCGACGGTTTGAGTAGCTTCTAATTCGGACATGTTTGTAACCGAAGTTAGTAATTTAGAACTTTGATTTTGAATATGCGGTCCCAGGTACCTTCCCAACGCAGCTGTCGCCATTCCGACTTTGGTAGCTTTTTTTTTTAAAGGTAAATTTTATTTACCGATAACTCCAACAATAAATAATTTCAGATCGATTTAATTACCTAAATATTCCGTAACGTTCACTGCTTTCCCCGTAACTACTTTCGCCATTTCTACTGCTTTCTGTACGTTAGGATCGATTTCAGTCGGAGCAGTGGAGGGATTCATATTATCCATAAATCTAGGTACGGAAGAATCCAAGTATTTAGCAGTCGTTCCAGCTCCTCTTATAATATTACTAGCTAAATATGATGCTCCCTTTAATAATTTAGAAGTTCCACTAATCGAAGCACTTCGTTTAAATAAAAAAATAATATAAATTTTTAACAAACAATTTAATTCATGACAAAATTTTTTTTATTTCATTTAAAAAAAAAAAAAAAAAAAAAAAAAAATACCTAGAGCGACCAGAAACTTTAACTTCATTTAAAAGAGAATTAAAAATTTCATGAAACTGATCTTCAAGTTCTTCAGGTACAATAATACCAACAGCTGCACCTTTTAAATTCGAACTGATATCAGGCAAAACAAAAATTCCTTCTTTGCTCCTAGTGCAGGGAGACACTCCAGGTATTAAAGGATATACAAAGGATCCCACTTGTAAGAAAGTTCTTTCTTCTGAATTTTCATCTAGTAAATACAAATTAATAATGTCAAATCTATTAAATATTATTATTCATTCGTCAAGCAAATTCAAATGATTTTAATGTTAATTAATGCAGTAGAACAGGCGTTGAAAAAAAAAAATTGAAAATTTAAAGATTATTTATCATAAAAAAAATATAAAATTAATTTCAGCAAAGTGATTTTAGTAACTAAAGGTGATGATGAATACCTAAAAGAAAATGTAATAATGCCTGAAAAATTATGTGTTATTTAAAATTTCTAATTATTAGTTATTAAAAAAAAAATAAAATACTCATTCTTATTAAAATAAGAAGATTAACATATTAATCAGTTTAGTTTTTTTTGTAACTACTCGTGCAAAACAAAAAAAAACATTCGAGTTTAAAAATACTATGTAAAAAGAAGCAATACCTTTCACCGATATTTTTTTTTTTTTTAAAAAAAAAAACCGTCACCAGAAAGAAACTCATCAAACCTTTACTTTCATACATTTTTTTTTGCTTTTTTTATGATGTTTTCTTCTGGGCAACTTGTAGTGATGATGTTTTTTTTTTTTTTTTTTGTCACTTAATTCTCTTTTTAAATCAGACACAATTTCATTTAATGCCTGATCTAGAACGCTACATGTTTGGTCTAAAAAATATGTTATTTTAAACTAATTTCAAAATTAAACTTAAAATTCTGATTGATAAAATTAATTAAAAAGTGCACAAATTGAAATTCTAAATTATTTGTAAAATATAGACAAGCCAGTGTTTACCAAACACATTGATTTTACTCACCGTAAATTCGGGCAATTATAAGTTTATTTGGTTCTGTTGTCGAACTAACCCTTCCATCAGGAGCAATAAAATACAATAGCACATTATTGCAACTGAATATAATATCTTCATTTTCAGCAATTTTTATTTCATTTTCTGACTGTAACAAGTCATTATTTTGGGAATTTGTTTCTAAATTTATGTTAAGATTAGCTAACAAGAGTGGATCATACACCATAGAGGGTGGTATGTATAGATCATCCGATTTAGATGACCCAGGAAGATCAGGATTGTTACCATTATCACTTATTCCAACTCTTTCAAGTTTTAAACTCGCATCAGATACTGCATCCTCGTATGAAGGAGGAAGTTCAGTTGGAGTGAATTCAGTATTTGATTTTAGAGTCTCAATTCTTAATGTAATTTCTTTCCTGTACAAACAAAAATCAAAAATAAAAACTGTTTTTTTTTTTTATTAAATTTAATGCAATATAAAAATTATGCTGTGTTAGTGCTCTGACCTAGTTTTTTTCAATTTCTGAAGCATTGCTAAGGTTTTTTCCCAAGAAAAATCCGGTTTAGATGGTTCCTTAATAGGAATGGCAAGAGCTTGATCTATTAAACTTAAACCGATTTCATATAATGGTAGAGCCTTAAATAAAAATATATATATTTTTTATCTTGTTTTTTTTTTTTTTTTTTTTCTTAAAAGAAATATTTGTATTCAATAATAAAAATGTAACTTGCATTATCAATTTTACCCTCCTCATCCATTTTTGTTGCCTTTTCAATGTTAAAGTAAGCTTCTGTGTAATTTTCCCCAAATTCAGTAAGCAATTCATTTAATTGTTTAACATCAACATTACTTGTGTTTTTTGCCATTGTTTAATTAATAATATTGTTACTAACACTAAAAAATAATAATTATTATTATAATTAGAAAAAAAATTGGTGTACTATTATAGACTATTACCGGTTCTAAATTAATCGGCGCTAAAAATATCTTATCATTAACTTTTTTTTTCAAATTAAATATACTAAAAATTTTAAATAATCACTGTAATATTATAAGTCGATAATAATTAAGCAGATGAATTACCTGAGTAATAATTTTTGGTAATTACCATAAACGAAAAAGTTAGAGAACCAAAATTTTCAGTTGCTTTTTTACTCTGTTATTGTCATTTAGCTCTACTGGTCTTGAAGGCAAACGCAATATTGCAATTTCATGTTCAGTCGTGTATCTAGACAGAAGGTTTTCCAATAGGTAAATTTTTATATTTAAGTAAATATTTTAATCTGCTTATTTAATTATAAATTTAAAAAAAAAAAACTAATAGGCACTTAATAAATGTCTTTTTTATATAATTTTTTCATT